AATAATTTTACAAATTCTTAGGGAAGGAAAGAAACGTTGGCCTGAAATTCAATCGATGCAGCCCTTACGGGTGCATTCAGAAGCTCAGAAACCACCCAAAACTAAAGAACGATCCCGATGCATGGCGCAACCCAAAGTAGTAATGAGTCTTGAACTCTTAAAAACTAAAACATTCTTCCTTTCTTTAAAAAAGCTCGACCTTCATAGATCGAATGAAGATCCAACCCCGCTAGTTCCAAGACAGCGACTGTATATGTCACCAATTACAGGAAACAAATTGGGATATTTTGGCATATTTTGTTCCTTGTGGAAAACCATAAGGGTTTTGCGCCCTCGAAATGGTACTCTAAGAAGAACCATCCCCAAAAACTAGAGGAATGCCTCAATTCACAGATGGAATCTGGAGATCTCATGGAATTCTTCTTCGGTTCTATAAAAAGCGGCTCATCCTAGGATACCACTCTTTTTCCGAAATAGACGACCTTGGCCATAACAGCATTCCAATTATAACCAGAAAGGAAGCAGAAGGATAGCATCGATGAGAAAAAAGCAGATCTGGTGGAGAGCGGGTGTATCTGTGAGGGAACGTTATGAGGAACGATGATTGGCATGAAATTGGCCCGCGCAGGTGGCGATTGCGGTCGTACAAGTTGCGGTGTTCCACTCATCATCATCGTCTGTGTGTGTAATATACGCCCCGGGATCGGCCCTATGACACGATTGTACTCGGGCGCTGCCGCCAATATCGGGACAAATCTATTTGAGGAATTGAAGAGGTGAACGGATCGAACGTTACAAGGACACTCGCAATCACCGAGAACTCCTAAAAGAAACAGAGAATGGGTACGCCGGAGAACCGCTTGGCATTCACACGGTGGGTGGGACCAACCGTAAACAACCGCACTGGGAAGATCGCTATAAGTTTGAGGGTAGAGGTCACGCTATGAGTGGCAAGTGACAGCGGGGGCTCTGAGACGGAAACCATAAAGTCGAAAGCATAAAGCCCGTTACAGAAAGGGAAACTCTTTTCAAGGTTGATTCTTTGGTCACAAAGAGCTCCAACTGGCGTGGGTCAAGATGCGCCAACGCCGCGTTGTAACTAGGATATCAGGGCAGAGCCAGTAGCTCCACTAATTTTTCAGCCATCGCTAAAATTTTTTTCGTTCGTCTCCCTCTCCATTCCTTTAATTATTTTATTATTTTTATTTTATTAATCCTGCAAATATAAATGCAATGGAAAACTTCACTAGGAAGAAAGTGGGCAGTTCTGCCATTTCTGAGAAACCGTCTGCTTATGGATGAGTTCGTAGCAGCGATTACTGGCAAAATGCCAGGATTAACATTTCGATGAGGAAAATCCCTTCCAGCCCATTCCACAGAATTCCAATGAGAAAATTCATTTCAAACCTGATACATACCAGTTGATACAATGAAGTAATCTTCTCAGAGATCCAAAACAACCCATATAAGCATCATCCTACTTGATTTATTTTTAATTTGTGTGGAAGGCGGTGAGGGGGAAAGCAAACCAAAACGAAAAACCAAAACGAAAACAAGTTTGAGAAGTAATTATAAGGTAATTTCCAAAAAGAACCGAAAAATTTATTGGATACCGTACCCCCGAGGTGGAAAACCTCAGATTGCAATCATTTCCTAGAAGGGGAAATCGAAAATGAAGGGTATTCATTTGATTAAGCTAATTAGCAAGCGCATTAGGAAAATCCAAGCTCCTTCTAATTGAAAATGTTTACATTTGTTGCCTCTGCTTTGATCTCTCACCTCAAACTTTTCAAATCGATCGATTATCGATCCGGCTAACGATCGATTTGATCCAAACCTTGTAATTTCTTGAAAAAGCATTTTCTCCTAGAAATCACCAAACAGAAGGGAGCTCCTATAAGGTGGCCAAACTGAATTCCATTACAATTTAAAGGCAACAGTTTCACTACCGCAGTAAATCTTACTATGGCCATTGCGATAACTAAAAGAAACTGAACAGTTACCCGAATGAGACAAACTGGTATTCCATGCTCTTTGTAGAGGGGAAAAACTAAACGCAAAGCAATTACCCGCTGTCACTTCAAATTCCAGTCCAAATCGAGAAAAAGTTGATCTCCCATTACAAAAAGTATCACCAATTACAGTGAATGATTTTGAAGGGGGAAATTACGACAAATCATATTAAAGTCATTATTTTTAACCATGAATAAACCACCAGATAATCGAATTTTGGTAGGGTCTAGCTTTTTACATATTTATGTGGATTAGAAACCCTTTTGCTGGAGACTTCATAGCAGGGACCTAAAAAAAAGCCGAAAAGATCCAACTGATGGAACTTCGTGAGGAATTCGGGGTGCCTTTCAAGATGAACTTTTGAGAATGCGTTCCATTCAATATAATAATAATTAATAATTCAAATTATTCAGCGAAGGTCTGCCTCTGCATAAAAGTCAATCATCTTGAATGGGTGTTTTTTTATGCGATTATTATTCAGAGAAATCGAATCCACGAATGGAGGAGCCCACAAATAGAAAGGAGTTAAAACCGGAGAGTCTCCCTACGTGGGCTAAAGCTTAGCAGGAACAACTATTCAGTTCACTTCGGTATAGGCCATAGAATCGGCCTGAGGTACCCTTAAACTTCCTTTAACAGCTGGTTGACTCAGTTATTGACGATACAGTTTCTCCTCCATGACAGTCAAGCTTATCTGACCTCCTGGAGACTTCAGAAGCCTTCCCGGCCAACGCGTCCAACTCTTTCAGAGAATCAAATCCTTCCCTTCATTTTTTTACAAGGAATCTTCGTACCAGAAGGATGAGAATCACCAGAAGACCATGGAGAATCTCGATAAAGAACAGTAACTCACCTTTAGTAAGAGGAAATACTCATTGTTACAAACTTCTTTCCATACAAATTAATGGGCCCTTAGGCATGTTCGTATCTCTCCCAACCCGCATTGAACAAATTTTTCGACCCGGCCCTCAATCCTTCGGCTATTACACCACGAAATAGCTGGAACGAAAAATTGCATCCAATCTATCTTTAGACGAACGCAGGCCGGGCTCGTCTCGATGAAGGAGCAAGAAAAAGCTAGAGGAAAGTAGCCGGTAAAATAGGCCCATCAATTCTACTGGAGAGGATGTATCCTTTCAGAGCTTCTTCGGGAGAATGGGAAATTCAGAAAAAACGGATTAGAGAAAATTTTCAGGTGTGAAAATTGTATAATTTTGTGGCCTCAGTCTAGGGATGTCCAAAATCTGTGAACAGTAAAAGCTGCCCTTCTTGCTAGGGAAAGGGAAGACAGAAATCCAATACTCGGGACCATGGAGAGGGATGGAGATCCAAAAAATGTGGTCGAACAGGTCATCGACATAGACGTGAAGGATTAGGTTGAAGAAGGGCCTGTCGTGGAACTCCGCCCATTTGAACTCTTTTTCCAAAATATCCAATTGGAGCTGGTTTGGTCGCCGAGATCCTTTGCCTTATGACTGAATCAAGACTTAGGGGATCAATGCCTTTACTGCTGAAGTCTTTTCCTCTGAAAAATTCTATATACGAACAGCTTACAGGCCATCCTTTCCCATGAGAAGCCCTAGCACAGCTTCCTGAGCTGATCCAAACAATCCTTGACGGTACATTCAGCATTGGAGATGAGATTTCGCAGGAGAGATAAGGCCGATTTTTCCGAGTTTTTTTTTNTTTTTTTTGGGAGGCATCAATCATTCAACAAAACCTAAGGAGGGACCGGCTCAGTCTGTCCGGCAAGCTGTACAACATAGACGGGCAAAAACAGCTAGAGAAAAGAAGATAAAAACGAGGAAGGAGAAAAGAGAGACTCCTTTCTGAAGAAAACCTCTGCAGCCGCGCTTGGATAAAATAAATAATTGAGCTCGGAGAACAGTGTAAAGGGGATAAGTGGCAGAAGAATAGGGGGAGGATTGAAAAATCGGAAAACTAACCTCCGCTCACGGCAGCACAGTGAGCACGACTTTGTACGGTTGAGCAGCACCGGAGGAGTGATCACCATCGGTAATGGGCTGAAATATAGACCATTTTATTATTAAATTGTTCGAAATTAGTAAACAATGACTCCTAAATTTTCATTCTACTGTAAGGCAAACTCCAGAAAAATCAGAGAATTTATGAACATTCTAAGCTGACTTCATACGGAAAAAGATGGGGCAGACAATTTAGAAATATTCTCAGGCCCTCAAAAATTTCCGAGTATTTTTGCATAATAAAGGATGGCTGAATAACATTTTATTATTGGGCTTTTTAAGATAGGCCACCCATTCAAGCTAAGTCGAAAATATAGAAGATTTAGACTAGTAGAAGTGCATTTTTTTTCTAAAAATGACCCTGTCCAGCCTCTGGTCTAGCGCTGTAGAAGTTGCTGTTGTCCCTAAGTGATGCCGATCTACGATCAGAACCAGCCCAAGATATGGAGGACTCGACCGGAGTCTGACCTTCATCAGACGGCTAGTGAACCGTAAGGCGCCTGTACGGTCTGGCCACCGTCTCAATGGCGCCGAACATACTGGACAAACGCGGATGCGAACTGGCGAAACTTCTTCCTTCCTAGGGAAGGCCTAGGCATAGCCCACCATCAACTGTTTCAGGAAAAACCTAAGTTGAGCCTGTGAGGATTCAACAAAAATTCAACAAAAAATTTTTGATGTTGTTGGGAAGAATTCAGGGGGAAGAAAGGAGTTCTAGGGAACCTGTGTACTCAGGATTCGTCTAGAAAGCTTTGCTCCACTAGAAAAGCCAATTATTGTTATACTAGAAAAAAAATGGAACAAAATCAGGAAAAAATAGTCCATTCCACAGAAATGGACTAGGGCCCCTCGGTGAGCATATGGCAAAGCTCTCACTATTATTTATGGAGAGATAAAGAAAAATCATTCCGTGCCAAAATAAAATTTCAGGTCTAGTAGTAGCTGACTGTTGTGCTCAGCTGGTTGTTTTGTTAATTCGTATAAATGATAAACGATAAAGTCTTCGGGATTGAACGTCCCCGTCTGAGAGATGCTCTACGCATTCGCCTTACATTCAGAATCATGGTGGCATATTGAATTTGCGTCTAGCCTATACAAGGACTCCCGGTGGCCACCCGGTCTAAAAGTCAGTGCTTTTATCCTCCCAGATGACTCTGCTTTCAGCTAGCCGAGGGGATGGAAGGCTTGGTTAGCCTTCCATTCCTACGTGGTCCGTGGTTATGTCGACTCGGGGTTCTAACCGTGACCATGCATGTGGGAAGTGTGCCACTCGCCACCACACCACCTCCATTGACTTGAATATTACTCAAATTCAACTACTTCATTCATTCAAAAATTCAAGAAACCCAACGAAAGAATGATTCTGAAAGTAAGGAGGGCGTATTCGTAAGGAGAATGGAGCAATTTAATGGCAGGATTTTAATCCATGAATACCAGGCAAAAACACCAACACGCCGTCTCGGCCCCTATGTGGCGTTTCGGCTTCTATGACGAGACACGCCATATAGAAGCTGAGACGAAGCAATGTCACGGAACGGAAGTCAGATGGGTTGAAGCGAAGGTGACTTCACTCGCAATAAAAGGACTCAACCGTCAGCTCATGATGGCCTGTTACTACAGTACAAGTTTGATAACTTATGCTTCAGCCTAACGAAGAGGAATTTAGCCAAACTTACGTAATATGCGGTTTGTGGGCCCACCAATGACTTAACAGCTATTTTCCACTTTCAATATTGTCGCAGACCTAGTTAAAACCCACCTTATGATATCTTTCTCTTTTCGACTGCTCTTCCGACGTAGAATTTTACTTCGTGGTGATGGTTGTTGCGTATCGATAAGTCCACTCTGCTGTTTCAGAATCATTATCGATTCGTCCGGCGCCATTATTCTGAAAGAAAAACCGTCTTTACATTGATAATGACCGTGTTAAGTTTTTCAGACAGCCTCTTCAACCGTCAGCAGCAGGCCATCTCCCCACCCATGACTTCTAAGGTCCCACGATCTAGTTCCTCATGCAATTAAAGGATAAAGTGGGTGGGCAGAAGGACTTCAGTGAAGATTGGCCTCTTTGTTTCCCTGAAACATGGAATAAACTGGAGCCTACCTGAACTTACGGCGAGGATAGCTCATGGAAGTATGGGAAGTGTAGGTAGCGTTCGATCTCATGACTTTTCGAATGGTGCGAGTTGCAAACCAAGGAAAAGTCCGAGTGCTATTCTAATGAGGAATGCAGGCTCTTACAACCGTCCGTGCACAACCCCCTCACTTATGTTTTTCAACGGACAGTTGTTCTTCTGAATACGAGAAAGTGCAAGAAAGTTCCAGTAGTGAATAGCAGCAGATCTACTCTCACAACCAGTAGTACACTAGCTACGATGACAGCAGCAAGCACTGCACTCAGTTCTTTTCTGCTTTCCAAATCGCCTTGCACATCACCTACAGGCCTAGTATTAGTCACATAAAAACTGTAAAGTATGAACATTCGAGCCCTTATCAATAACGCTCTGGGATACGCCACGTATTCAACTTTCCATCAGAGCCGAAGGGGTGTTTGGATGCTTACCCACTTCATACAAGGGCTGCTTTCGAAAGCTCGTCTACTGTACGAGTATGATAAAAATGGTCGAACAACGAAGCGAATACATGATTTATCTGAGCGGCTCCCAACTCGGATTTTGATAGTTTTACCATGGATAGGCTAGCGGTCCCGTCCGGCCTCAGGTCATCTTGGTGTGGGTGATATCAGACAAGCAACTTCTAGAACCCGTATTCGGACCACTCGTAAACTGCTGCTGGTGAACTGTGGTGGTGACTAGATTGAGTTTGTAGCTCCGAAACGTGACATTCATGACAAAGCTCTCACTCCGATCCAAAAATCGTTGTATGAAAGGAGGTTAAGGAGGTTTTTCCATTCTACAACCTTGTACAAGTAACATTATGGGTTTCCTGCAGACAAAGATGTCAGTGCGACTCACTCCCACTTCCTGGAAAGCGGAAAGATTTGATTTTGCCAGCAACTCTTTACCTGGGTTGACACCTGGATGTGTAGTTCAGGTTCAGTACAGTACGAAATGAACCGACTCATTGCACTACAAACATACCCCACGAGACTCATCAATTTATTTCTTCTATCATCATTTCTCCCGTGACAAAAACACGGATTATCCGCACGACAAATAAACAAGCCCATAGTACATACATCAGGGCCACCTCAATCACCTCCCTGTAGGCATTCTATCCCTACTATGAATTAGCACATTGACCAGACCCATCCCCACACTTAGGAAGATGAATGGTCAGCGGAGGCATCAAAATACGACCCACCCGAAGAGAACTCCGAGTGCAGGGTTGTTTTTTGTGCGGACGGACGTAAGCAAAGGACAAGAACGACGTACAGGGTGGGGCGACCTCACGCAAAGTTCAGGCGATGAGTCGCTGACAGGGTGTCCTCAAAATCAAAGGCTCACCGCCTGGGAACCCTGACGTGACTTTTTTTCGCCCTGAGAAAAACTAGTCAAGGCAAGAAAAACCGGACTACTGGAGCGCTTTATGATGTCTGCTCCTTTCCCTGTTCTATATAGCAAAAGGGCTACAGTCTGAGATCGTGCTGAGACCTGTCCAAGAAAAAAAGGGTCGACCGGAAGTATGCACAGCAGCTTTAGAGGAAAAAAATATTCAAA